TCGCAGCCATACAGCAAGATCAAACGAATTCCAGCTCTACTGACACGGATTTTCGTCTTCATGGTGATTTCGCGACGGTTCCATAGAGATCAACCAGAAAAATCATGATTCTAGCTTCCGGGTTACGATTCTATCCTTTGCCTGGCCATTTGAGATTAGAGTGGATCCAAGGTTTAAAGTCCAGCACTTCCTCAACCGGCAATGAATTGATAAAAATAGCTATTTTATCAGAAGAAAATACTTTCATTTTATTTACATTGATTTTGACTCCAATTCTCGCGATGTTCCAGCACCCCTAGCGTAAATAACTGGTCAGCACAATCGTTATTTAGAGAAGGGAAGCGAAAATTTTTCCAGAGATGTCCAATAGGCTGATTCGTCGGTAATTGTAGCAGTACGTCCTGTCAACTTTATTGGGAATCGTATAAATTCCGTAGGAAATAACTTTCATAGGAACGAAAAAAATAGAAATCAATAAATCAAAAATATAAAAATTCTTGCTTATCGAAATCTAAATCTATGCAATTTACTCTCTAATCTATATTATATATGTATGTATGCATTTTTTCCATCTGATATTAAATTGACGAAAGTATTATGAACGGTGTTTCTGGATCCAACAAATCTCTGGATATGACACTGGACGCGGCAAATCCCTGGATCTAGTAAGTCCTTTTGGATCATGAGAACTTCCTCTGCCAAATCACCATTCTTAATTATTTTGCATATAGATGATTCAAATATTCTAAAAAAGAAACATTATATGAATATATAAAACATTATATGTATGCCGTTTGGGTGTGTATGTGTGCGTGTTTGTGTGGGTGTGTTGCTTGTTTCTAAATAGCTTGCCTTTGCTTTGCTTCGCTTTGCTTTTGCCTTGTCCGTAAATTTTATATTTTGTCCTCGGGAAGCTTTTTTCGACTCCACAACCAACCAACCACTCACTCATCGTTTCGTTTCTTCACATTATGATCGATATTTAACCATCGTTTTAGCTATCTTATTTTCATTATATCAACACTATTCACTTACTTTTCCTTACTCCAACAAAGCAGTTCAGCTATTAAGTGAAAAACAAAAATCCACTTGAAATCCTTATAAATTCTTAAAATTTTGACTTTTAATTGACCTTTTTTCGTGCGACTTCTTTTAATTAAATCTTAGATTATTAATGATCGTTGTGGATAGTTAGATTTTATAGTCAAATCTTCATCAGTGACCATTTCTGATTCGGCTGGCTCCACTGATTATTAGGATGAGAGCTTTTTAGCAGAGTGCCACTTGATGAAAGAAATACAATTAGTTCTCCAGCACAGACTTTTTAATGGTATATGTCGAAGCCAGAGCCAGGCGTGATGCTTGGAACAATCAAAATTATCCAACTCAATGAGGTAGGATGAGATTCTTCTGCTAAACGATCATTTGGTGAATAAAAATCAAAATCTTTAGCACCCAGACATCTATCTTTTAATGACACGTTGACACACTGAGGTAGGCAACGACTAACTGCCGATACATGTCTATATGCACACATCGATTCAGCTGCTGCTTGTTGCCTGTACTCAAGAACTGAACTTATTTAGTACCATTTAGTACCATTTTTTCATCTTCGTCAATCTTCGATTATCATCAGCAGTTTCCACAGTTTTTTTAAAATTCAATTTAGAATATTGCGAGAAAAATTCACTTCGCTTTCGATTCGATTAATTGCAATTATTTACAACTATTTTGATTATAATTATAAAAAATATTTCATTCATAATTTTCACTCATTTTTTTAAAATTATTTTCTTAAACCCTGTTTCTTCATTTTTCGAATAATTCTTATCAATATAATTTTCATTATTATTCTCTTTCATTTCGTTATTTATTATTCTCATTCATTTCTATAAAAAATGCAACTTTAAATAATTTTATATATCGAAGATTAAACAAGCGATCACTCGGATTATTGCTTCGAGCAAATTTGCGAACTATTTCCAACGGTAGTGAATTTACCATTAAAAATCTAGGGTGTGTTGCTCGCGATATTCACCTATATCGCCAAATGACTGGCTAAAATTTCTCAGCGCTCTATCGCAGCCAACCTAACTAATCAGAAATGATAAAAGCTAAGCATTTACAATTTTTATATATTATAAAAAGCAAAAAGAAATTTTTGAATGCCGAAATTTATCGAAAATTCAATTTTTTTAATCATTTCCTTTCACTTTTTTAATGAATTTACAAAATATTTTTTTTCGAAATCAATAAATATTATAATTCTTGTTCGCAAAAATTTAAATAATTTATGAATTTTTCTTTATGAAATGGCTAATAAAAGAGAATATAAAAAAAAAATATAAAAGCATTATTTTTTGATGTCATATAATTTCTCATTAGTGGCGCTTATTCCATTCGATAAAGAATAATGGAATAGTGAAAGTAATGAGTTAAATAAATTAATGTTGAATATGAATGGAATGCTAAAAGTGGTAAATTAATGGATATTTCCAGAAAAGAAAAGGGAAGAGAAACGCATAACTGAAAGAAAAAAAATACTTTTCAACAAGAAGCACAATTAAACTGAACTAAGTTAATAAACTAAAATCCTTTCAAAGCCAGTAATTTTAAAATGTCAGTAATGTTACTGATATATTGATATTTGATAATGTTGTTGTTATTGAGCGTTGATATTCACCTGCTTCGATTACACTAACAAAGTCGTTTCCAGCTAAGAAAACGAAATTTTAAAAATAATTCGATTTGATATGCAGTGATTTATCGCTCAAATTTTAAAATAAAAATAATTTTATCATTCATAACTAATCAGTTAGACTAGCATGCGCTATACTTTTCTTCTAACAGCGCCTATCACAGCTGATTTGGCTCACAGCTTTACTGGCTGGTGATGCTCCCAAGGCCCGCGACGGGGTACCCAAGCGGTCAGCAAATAAACCGTTCTATCTTTTGCAGATAAATATATCAAATGAAAAATTAAGCAAAGAGATAAAATTCAAAACGAAAAATTTTAACACATTTCATTTTTTTAATAAAATTTGATTTTTTTATGGGATTATGCAATAGTCTTTATGATATCTATCTATTATTCAGTAAAACAATTTCCACTTCTAAAAGATGGAACAACTAAATTCTCATTTGCAGCTGAAGCAGCAACTGAACGATAATTCTTCTTCAGACACCTAAATCCAGCTAATGCTTAAGCAAAAATTCTTTTCGTAGAAGAGAATTACTCTACTCTGAGAAGAAATAACTATTTGCAAAATTTCGCAATCCGTAAGTTCAGCTGAAACTAGAAGGTCGCTGTTAGTACCACTCATAATCCAGGCAGCTCAAGCCTAAAGAACGATGATTGCAGAATCTAGAAAGTGTTCTACATCCTCAGCGATATCGAAACAATATCACTCTCAATCTCTCAATGTTTTTATAGAGGTGCTTTGTCACTAGAGATTATGCCTTTGTAATCATTTCAGCTGCCTCTTTACATTAATTTGTTTGCAATTTACCCTCATCTTAGACAATACTGACAAGAATTTTCTTCAGAACTGTCGTCTGATGGTGCATTTACAAATGATGTCCAAATCCACAAGTTAATCCACAGGTGCTCGATATCGATATTATCCAAATACAATAGCAGTATAACTTTTGATAAGAATTTTTCATTTATTTCTTTGTCCAATTGTTTCAACCAGTCCCCAAAAATGTATCTCATCCAAGCTCGCCTGTTTTTTATTCACAGAAGAAGTATTCAACTTTTTTGAAAGGACGAAGCTTATCGGATTTTCCAGCGATAAGAAATCGAATTTTATGATCACTGATTGCAAAAAAACAGATGTTGTCTGGACCTTTTTCATTCTCGAGATGGATCGCCTTTAAAAGCCGAGGTGCGATGCGACAACAGCTGGCAGAAGAGCCAGCCTTCAGCGTTGTCTTAGATGCCTTCTGGCCTATAGGCTGCAACGGTTTTATTTCGCCTTACTGTCATTTACTAACTTTGTTTAATGAAAAATGCTATTCATTATATCGAGATTTCTTTAATACTGCGGACCAGATAAGATCTTGGAACTTCTTCGTTATAATATGATTTTATATCGAGAGATTCTAACGATCGATTCTGCTAGAGTGCTGAGTTAGCATTACGGTCGTACATTAAACGTTTCAAAGGTTTCTATAAAACAGTAAATGAAAAGTAATTAAATTAAACAAAAGTAAGTTATCACTCATTTCTAGTTTAGACTCGCACTAAAAGCCTTAGTAAGATTAAAAATTTTTTTATAAATTTTTAACGAGAAAAGTAGGAGGGGGTCGCCAGTATCAACCGGATTTTTTAAATAGATTTATTCTCATTGGAAGAAGTCGAATCCTTGTATCTCAACACAATAACCTGAAACATTATCCACAACCATCCAGTTCTCTAATACAAATATATCTCTAATACAAATGGGTTTTTTTAAAGGCATTTTATTTTTTTAAAACAATTCATTATAAAGCTTCCGTGTTACTATTCAATATTTTTTCTCAAAATATATGATAGTTTAATCGACTATATTTTCATTTTCATTAGTATTTATTCTTTTTTGTTGACATTCCTTTATATAAACCACTTTACAAATTATCTAATACTCATTATTTTTGATTTGGATGATTCCATTATTTAAATATTAGAAAAAATTCTCTATAAAGAATCAACTGAGGACAAAAATGCAGAGGATTACCAGCATCACCCACATTTCACTTTTAACAACAGGTTTGATCTTGCCATAGGAATCTCATAACAGCATGACATTTGTAACCCCATAACATAGCATCCCACATCTGCTGAAGTTAATAATAAATTTTTTGTTCTACTGGAAGACTCGGCAAGTACTAATAGGTCGACCATCATTTAATGATCAAATTTATGCGAATAAATACAGCGATTTACTCCATCGTAATTCATAATTCATAATTTGTTTATTTAAGAGAGTGTAAAAATATAAGAATATATCGAAGTGGTGATGGCATATGACCCTCGAAGGTCAAGCATTAATGCTAATATTAAGGTTGTTTTCATTTAAGCGCCACTTGGTTTCATCAACATTTCCATACAAATTTAAATTTTAAAAAATTAATAACGCTTTTTAGCACAGTTTATGCAATGAAGCTCGTGGCAGCCTCTCCAGTCAAGTAAAATGCCCTTTACAAGGCCCCCTTAATCCACCCAAACGTTCAAGTGCAACATCCACTGGTGGTCAAGTATATCTTATATATCTTATTAATTTCATTAATTTATTCTTATTCTTTCGTTCTTTATTTTCTTTTGCTTTTCGTTAATATATAAACCACTTTCTGTCGCTAAAAAAAGTTGGAAAAAATAAGATAAAAGAAGGAAAAAACCTTGTTAACCATATACGCTTAACAATGTTACCAGCCTCATCAGTAACCTATCTGTTGTTGAATTATTTTTAAAAATCACCGTAAAATAAGTCGTAATTGAGATATATTTATTGGTGAATATTCAGAGGAAAATCTGGAAGTTATATTAAAAACAATTTGTTAGATCATTCTTTTGATTAAAAATTGAAATTTCAGCTATTTTTATGTTTGATCGGTTCCCTTCTTAGCTTCAGTATTTGTATTTGGCTAACCGTATTCAGTCAAGATGTTCAATGGAGACGATTTTTATTTGCTGGTGGAGCTGCGTTATGTGCTTTACTATTCGCTATGCTTGCTATACAAACTGTGAGAAAAGCTAAACAGTAAATTCATTTTTCCATATTTATAAATAAATCTTTTTTAGATATAAAAATCACAGATTATGAATTAAGCTATATTCAGTTGACCATTTATTTAAAAAAATGACTGGGGCAAGAAATTCTCAAAGACAAAGAATTAGTTTTCACATGACATAGCACTTGGAGATCCAAAAGTCAGCAAATCCAAAAATAAATTTAGAAAAAATCTATTGAGTTAAAAAAAAATCTTTTACAATTTCTTCCAATATTTTCTTTGAATTACTCGTTATTCCTAATTTTCTTTTCTACTCATTTAATCTTCTTTGAAATAATGTATCTTTTTACGTTAAGAATTAAAAATGATTTTCCAATAAAGGAATCTAAATAAATGTGTAGATTTCATCAACTATTTCTGAATTTTGAGTCTCTAGTATTCATACTAAAAAGAGAAAATGAAGTGGGTTATACTTCGATTATGACCAGCAATAATATAAAAACCGATACGAATTGAAGAAAAGTTTTCAGAGTACCAACTGAAGAAGTGATACCAAATTTGGCACATCGACGATCGACAATTGCACGAAGCGCACGCAAATCAATATGTAGTGGTACGACACAAGAAGGAACTTCACCTTAACAAAGAAACGCAGGCAGTTAGCCCGAAAAACTTTTTCTTTATTTTCTACTGCATCCTGCATCAATGGTTATATATATATATATTTTAAAAATAAACATATAAATATTAAATTTTTTCTTGTTCAACTTCATTGATCTCATTCGTCGCTAAATTTTGAATAAATTTTGAATAAATAAAAATAAATTTTAACTTTTGAAGTCGTTTACTTGACTTATAAATCGTTGATTCGATCTGGATGCTATAAGGTGATTCATGGCCTTAGATGGCGTAAAAACAGATACAGATAAAAACAGATGGCTTTAATTTTAGGAATGACACTAGACCATTCCGTTACCGCCAGTAGAATGAACAAATTAATATATGATTTATATGTCATGAATAGGGGGAAAATGCTTTTACTGCTTTATTAATTTAATATTCCTTAATACTTTAATATATATTTTAACATATACTTTTTCTTCTGGATTATTTTCAAGACAATTCAAAGTCGATTTAAAATTTGGCCTTTTTCATAGCGAGTAATCTCTTCCACATGTCTCCTTTCTATTCCTTCCATCAAGAGACGTAAATGCTCTGTCTTCGATAAACGCTTATATACTAGTGCCTAGAATGAGAGAAAAACCTTCACCTTCATCAGTTTTTTTTTCAGTTTAAATTTCCAAATCTGCTTATGAATAAAGCTTTTTCCCCTATAAGGCTGATTGAATTTTAGATAAAATTTTATATAAAATTGTATTTCGCTTAAATTAAATTAAATCTTTGCTTTAATGTTAAATAAATGCTATCTTTTGATATTTTAAAAAGTTCATATAAAATATTTTTTTTCTCGAATTAAATAATTATTTCCGAAATATCACGGTAATTGCCGCAATACGTCCTATCACCTTTCTTAGGAATTGGAAGCAGAATTGTTTTGCTCCAGTCTTCTGGTATTATTTCTTTTTGCCATACCAGAGAATATATTTGTTGAAGGCGAGTTAAAACATTGAAGAGTTCGGTTTAAAGACTATCTTCTGCAAGAGTTTTATTGGCCTTAAGCTTATGGATTACAAAGATTATTTCCTCTTCTGTTGGCGGTTCTACAGTTACAAATGTAAGGCTCAATGTGCGACAGTTATATTCGGGGTAACAGATGGGGCATCGTGGCTAAGTCAAAAAATTCTTTTCATCTTCTGAGGTGATCCTTAATAGCTTTAATAGGACCCCAGCCCCCTCCCCCCCCCCATTAATATCCCATTTCATTGATCTTTTCTCGAGTTATATTGCTTTGCGAAGAAGGCGAAAAAGTTTCCTACTATCACCAATCCGAGCCGCCGACTCCATTTTCAAGGCCATGTTACTCCAATAGCGATTTCTTTCCCGCCGTGCTGCTGCTGTTGTTGTAATTCTTCGAAGCACCCGATAGTCAGGATCTTCTGATATTCAGGCTTTGCCATTTTTTTCAAACAATTGGATAATTGCTTCCGACACCCAAATAGCACACTTCCTACTACTATACCCTAATGTGGAAGTGGCTGACTTTTGTAGGCATGTCTTTAGTTGGGACCAGTATTCATTCGCCGTTCCAGAGATATCATTGACATTTCAATGAGGTGTCAATAATGCGGTTTGAAATGCGCTTATCGGATCTTCCCGGATCTTTTAATTTGAGATAGTTGAAAGATCTTGGGATACATTGTTTCTTATGACTCAGTTTTATACGAATCTTGGCTCGAACCATAACATGATCTGATCCACGGCGGTTACCAGTTTTAGCGCCTCGATAAGATCAAGTACAGAACTCTTCCAGCCGTGACTGACTAACAGTCAATCTGATTGGAATATTGGTTGTCCGGAGAGTTCCACGTGACTAGATGTTTTCTCCGATGCTGAAAGCATATATTTATATTAGTAACAAAGAGTTCATGGTATTCAGCAAAACGAAGAAGGCGTTCACCATTGGAGCACTGGGCCCCGATGCCATATTTGCCAATTATCGAATTCATTGAAATGGCATTATGACCTACGTGCACATTCCAGTCTCACCCGAGTATGACCATGTCACCTCTCGGTAGGGATATTAACAGATGAAGTTCCGCATAGAACTTATCGCGATCATCTGCGCGGTCATAAAGTTGGAGCATATACACTGATGACTGAAATATTACAGAACTTTTCTTTGAAATGCGCGTAGACCATACGGTCATTGACTGGTTTTCATTCAATCAAAGCGGATCGAGCCTTTTCCGATATGGCAATCGCTACGCCATTTCGCCGAATTATCCGAGACGCCACTGTGATACAGCCAGTATCTATGTTCGGGACCAGGTTTAATAATTACTCGGGAGCCAACAAGAGGTAACCAACACTCCAACTAGGTTGCTCATATAGACAATCGCCATTGGAAGAATTCCATATTAGGTCATTTCTATCGCGATGCGAAAACTGATAATCTTCATGGATCAGACCATGTTATCGTACGAGCTATCATTCGCATAAATTTGACAACTTCCAAGAGACAAAATATCCCAAGATCATTCAATTATCTCAAACTAAAAAATTCGGGAGCATTAAGTGCATTTCAAACTGATTGATTGAAGCATCTCAATGGTGTGAGCATCATCGATATCTCTGGATCTCTGGACAACGGCAGATGAATATTGGTCCCAACTAAAGACATATCACTGCAAGCAGCCGAACTGGGGCATACTAATAGAAAAGGCGCTAGTTGGATATCGGAAATAACTGTCCAAGCGTTTAAAATGCTACCAAAGTACGAAAGTAGATTTTGACTATTGGATATTTCGAAGAATCACAACAACAGCAGGACAGAACAGAAATCGCTGTTGGAGTGATATGACCTCAAGAATGGAGATGGCGGCTCGATTAGGCGATGGTAGGAAACTATTCCGCCTTCTGCATAAAGCAACTCAGAGAAATGATGAGGGACCTCATCTCGTAAGGTGTAAAAAATTCTTTGAGGCCAAACTTAGTCACGACGTGCCATCTGTTATATCGGATATACCTGAACCGCTTGTCGAGCAATATGTTTACAAACTGACTGCAGAATAAGAAACGACCTGTTATCGAGGAGCCAAAAAAACTTTCGCAGAAGATGGTCTTCCGGCTTCTTCAAATGTTGTCTACCGTTCTTTATATTATTACCTTCAACAAGTGTACTCTCTGGTAACAAGAAAAAAAATAATACCAGATGACTGAAGAAAAGCAGTTCAGCCCCATTTTCAAGAAGACATACAGTGCCAATTATCACGGATACCTATAGATATATCGGCGATTCACCGCTTCTTATTTAATCGATTTCGCAATTATCTTCGAACTAATAGAACGGCGCTTTTGAAGTTGATAGAATATGAAGATGGTGTTCCGGAAAAGACTTCGACTCATAAAGACATTTCACCAGCACAAGTCATGTGAGGAACTGACAGACTCCTTCGAAATAAGAACTGATGTCTGTCAAGGCTGCGTCCTTTCCCCTACAATATTCAAGTATGCGATAGAATGGATAATGGACATCGTTTGTTGACACTCAAGAGTTGTCCAAATCAGTCCAGATCAACGTAGCACATATTTTGAAAACGCTGATAATGTAGTCCTTTTCACAGTTAAAAGAATATGTCAACAACTGCAGCGAGAATTGGATTCAAAATCAATGTAAATAAAAAGAAAGCCGTTTCGTCCTATATACAAGAGGCTGATAAAATATTTATTTTTATCAATTACCGATTGAGGAAATGCTAAACTTTAAATATCTAATATCCACTCTAATCCTAAACAGCTAAAAAAAAGACGGAATTGCAATCCAGGTAACATTGCTATCTTATGTAATCGTCGCGAAATCATCAAAACAAAAGTCCACATCTATACAGCTCCATTTCTCGATCTTTTTTATATGACTGCCAATGAGAATGGAGAAAAATAAGAAGTTATCCACTTATCTACTTTTCTATCTTCGAACACTTATGTTTAGATACATTTAACGGGCTGAGTGGATAAGTTTCACATAATTGCACCTATTTTCGTTTAAATACTTGGATAAACACTACCGCCATAGCATACCAAAGCCTATTCGAGTAGATATCTCCATTTTAAGCCTAGATCACTCCAATAATAAATTTTATTTTTATGCCACTATCAGTTGACACTTGTACTCTGGAAACCTTTTGGGATAATCGGATTACTGCTTCCGATACAAGCGAATTTTCAAGTGGTATATCCAAGTGGTGTGAATTCGACTACAGACCCTTAATTGAGGCTAATTCGATACTTCATTGGCGGTTCCAGATGTGTTGTTAAAATTTATATTATTGAAGTGTTTCGATAATTTGGTTCGAAATGCACTTAATGATCTAAATCATTTGAGATGGTTGTAAGATTTATTTTGCTGTTTTCTGCGTGACATCAATTTCATGTGCTGCAAACCATGGATCTGATCTGTGAAGATCACCAATTTCAGCTCTACGATAGGAATGGCTCTCTAATCCCTTTTTAATTGATTAATCATTTGATCATTTGACTAATCAGTCTGATTAGAATGTTTACGAAAAGCCACTAAATATCTTCTGTGATACCGAAAATATATGCTAGAAGCAAAAAGTCCATGTCCGGCAAAGCGAAGAAGGCGCTCTCCAACCGCTCTAATCATGGAATAATGACTATCACAGTGGTAATTCGAATTATTCGGAATGAAATAGCATATAATTGCCATATCGAAAGAGCGTGATCAGCTCTAATCATGTAGAAACCATTTAGTATTTAATAAAAAATTGCAAAAACTCTTATCTATACCATTACAGTTTTTGATGAAAATTAAATAAAAACACTTTTAATTTCGTATAAAATAAGCAACTCAAATTAAACATCAATTCTATATTACTTTTACTATCCGATTTCATTGTATAAAGTCAATCTAATATAAAATATCATAATGTGTGCTCGAAGAAACTTATTATGGTGAAATTTAAAAATTTAAAAAAAAAAAAGTAGACAAAATGAAAAATAAAGAGAATGAAAGCGTGATAAGATGGTTATAAGTCAAGAATAAATAAAAGTTATACTGATAAGAAAATATATGGTCTATAAATTGCAATTATTAATAAGAACCATACTGATCAAATTCAGCAAAAAACACAGTATCCTCGTCATAAATTTAAAAAAGCATTATATCCACTAAATATTTTTATAAATGAATTTTAAAATGACAGGAACTGATAGGAAAAAGTTATTTCTATTGATAATTAAAAATCACCGAATCACGATAAAATAAATAAAGTCAAATAATTACTACAAGATAATCTTAAATGAATTGTCCAAAAATTAAATTTTTTCCTTAAAATCTTAAATTTAAAAAGTTATTTAATTTTTTATTTATTTTATTTTTATTTTATTTTATAAAAAATAGTATATTGAAATAATTTGCCAATTCTTGGAAATATTCCAAAATTCCATTCCTTAATCAAATTCTTAAGTAAACAATAATAGACAAAGACTATTCTAGATCATAACATTTCTGAATTTTTCGCTGAGTTGAATGATCATTCATTAAAAAATTTCAATGAACTTGAAGTAGATCCTTAAAATCTTGCAAATGATAATTTTATACGAAATTATTGAATATAAGCCAGATCCATCAGTAAAATCCATCTGTATGGATAAATAAAAACCAACCTTGTCGTTGTCAATCTCAATTATTGCCTTTTGGATCTCATTGATCTGATTTTCGACATACTGAAGCTTTTCTTGATTACCGTCTATAAGTTCTCCAATCACATCCCTTTCGTTCACTTTTCTCATTTTAACGAACTGATCCATCTAAATTTGAAATGGTTAACCACATTATCAGAACCATTAAGCAAAAACTTGATAGTTTAAAAGGAATAGAATATCGTTTAGAAGAAAGTTTCTTAAAATATAGAAAAAAAAATTTTGGCCATAATTTTTAAAAAAATTGCAGACCACACTAAAAGTAATATAAATATTTTAACAGGAATATGCTAACCAAATAAAGGAGCAAATGTCAAAAACACTTTTGAGACTAATATATTGTTAACAAATTTAAAAAATATTTTTTAATAAATTTTCAGTGATAAATTCGTGTTCAAATAGTGATTTAAAAAAACAAACAAGACGTTGAATTTCATCAAAAAGTTGGCGACGTTCATTCACCCGTCTTTCTAATTCTTCTTCCATTTTCGTTATAATTTGTTTTTGTGTTATTTTCCGATGTATCTGCAAATAAGATTTTTTTAAAAATTTCAAAATTTTAATTTTATTAACAAATAAAGATCAAATAATGACATAAATGAATCGAAATTTTCGTACATATTTCTCGATTAACAACCATTTTGCTTTTGCTTCTCTGGGAGAAAATCTGGAAGCAGAACTGCGCATCTGTGCAATATTATGCCTTGCACTGCCATATGTGGCTGTTGGTTTATAATTAGAACGATTAGAGACTGAAGAACGATTCTAAAATCAAGAAATTACAATGAACATAGTATATTTGTCCGCATCTGACTCAGGATCAAAGTAAATAAAAGGAAAGTCTTTTCGTCTTTATGTACAAGATGATAAAATGCCTCTTTTTACAAATTCACTGCCAGTTGAGGAAGTATGAAGTACCCAATTTTAAATACATTCAACCCACTCTAATATCGATGGTCCATGCAAAAGACGACTCGGCAGCTAGAAATGCGTTCTTCTGATTGACGATTGACGACACCTTTATGGAGTCATCGTGAAATCACCATAAGAATGAAAGTTCGCATCTATATAACCGCGATTCATTCAATCATGTTACATATTATATGTGAAATATGGCCAATGGGAGTGGAGGATTAAGAAGTTATCTGCCTTCGACCATTCGTATCTAAGGTACATTCTATGGGTTCGTGGTGTGGATAAAATCTCATATGATCGCATCTACCTTCGTTTAGACACTTGCATTAACAGCACCATCAAAGAGAGCATCACCTTCGCTGGTTAGAACATGTTGTTCCTCACCCACCACAAGAGTTGATACATATTTCATTAACTGCTAAACTCTGTGATGGATGGCGTCAAAAGCGAGATGGGCTAATTTATACCTGGAATGATATAGTCAGGAAAGATTTTGAACGTATAGGTGGACCAGCAATATATGGACTTACGATAGAAAAAGGAATGGCTTCCATTACTGTCGACGATATCATCAGACCGCGCCGCTTGGAAGCGTCTTACCTTTGTAGCTGTTGAAGCCAGCCTAACCAGTAATGGTGAGAGCTGTTAGAACAAGAAAAAGAATTTTGTAAAATTTTGTAACTGAAAAAAAAAGTCATTTTCTCTTCAAGAAGTATTGAAACAAAAATTACCATTTGATGAGATTGTTGTTGCTGACGGAGTCGACTGATTTCATCAGTCGACCGTTTTAAAAACAATTCCCTTTGGCGATCCTTGTTCATTAGCTGGCGAATCATATTATCCTTCTTTCTGAATATTCAATTTTTTAAGAAATAAAAATTTAAGAAAATAATGGATTTGTAAGTCTGATAATAATTTATTCCAGATGTACTACAGAGAAAAGTTTATAAAAATAGTAAGAACAATTCTGTTTGCTTAAAGTGAACCATCAGGAGCTAGAAAAGCCAAATAGTATGATTGTTTTGATGAGCACCATAGGTTTAGTAGATTTATAAAAATCTACTAAAAAATTAGACACTACTAAAAATTAAAAATTAGACAATGGCACCATTACTAGTTAAGCTGGCTCCCTTCGTTATTCCAAATAGATTGTGCTTCTATTGTCAAGTAATTCTCTGGCGAATTTCTAACTTCTGATTTAACGGCTAATGGCACCTAGCCAAATCAGAAATGTAGCAGCTAATTACTTATTCATGTCTAAAGATTTTTTGATCTTGCTCCTATCTTCTTCAAATTCATAGATCTTTGATAAGCCGAAACCTTAATTCGACCGATGACTAGCGGTTCACTCATATTTCTACTCTCTTTTTTCTTTCGAATAACTCAAGTAATAATCGAAAACGTCTTACTCAAGCTAAAAGGAAATTTTGCGTTTTTAAATGAAGAATCATGGAATAAAGAATCTTTAAATAGAAACAATTAGAAACATGACAAATTTTACCTTGCTTCTTTTTCTAAACCATCCAATTTTCTTAAATTGGCAGTTTCTATAACTCTTGCACGTTTTGTTTCTTCTTTTAATTTTTGTATTAATTGGATCTATAAATACAATCAAAAAAACTATATTATCAAAATCTAATGAAAGATAACAGATAATAGATAAACAAATAACAGATACAGAATACTAGTGGCAAAACAAAATAAATCTAACACTTTTAATACTTTAACAATAAATATGCCAACTTTTGCTCTTTTCATTTCCGATAGCTCACTGCGAAGCTTGACCAACTGTTGCAATTCAGCAGCTTGTCGAGCTTGCATTCGACGGTGTTCGCGTTCCACTGACTGCAGCTTTCGAAATTCTTCACGCATTGTATTGAGTTTTTTTTCATATTCTTCACGAACTTTCTTAACGTGTTCAACATCGATTTTTTTCGAATTTTTCGATTCTAAAATAATTCAAATGAACTTAAAAATTCGTATCAAATGAACAAAGACCAGAAAAACGAAAAAAATAATGAAAAAATTGAAAAAAACTCGGCCTATAAAACTGATGGAAAATTACCGCACTTCCTTATTATTAAATGATTTAAAATAAACCAAAAGATCAACATATAATTCATTTAAATTGTTTTACTACCACTAAATCAATCTGAATTAATTTTAAAAATAAACTATAAGTCATCCATTATGTAAACAAATTCTACAACATTCATTAAATGTATCATGATTTGCACCATTCATTAAGCATATGGAGATTCTCAGAAATATTCATTAGAAAGTCGATTTCGCGGTTTAAATAGATATAACAGATATAAACAATTCGATTTAGAAATTTTACCCATTTCAGCAAGAATGCGATCTCTTTCCGCTTCGGTAGCGGCAATTCGTACCGATAATTCAGCGAGTTTTTTTTCATATGTTAATCGTACCTATAAATGAAATAGATAAATTAGATAAATCATTATAAAAAATATTAAAGTTCCAAACTGGTTCCAAACCTTTTGAATATATGAATCGTTTAGTAATTTCTTATTAAATCTTATAATAAGGTGCGAATGTAAACTACACACAAAAACTGTTAGAAGATATTAGACGATTTCTGAAAGGCAATAAACAATTGCGGAAAATTTTAATTGAAATAAATTAGTATAATAATCAATAACAGAAGTTTCAATTTGTGCTGCGATATAAAAATGATAAATATAATAAATATATAAATATATAAATAACAGGCAATTGCGACAATATGATCATTATTTCTGAATAAGTTCTGATCAACTAATTCAAAATTTTGAAAAAAAGTTAAAATATTTCATTAATAAAAATTTAAAGATAATAATGTTTTAAACACAAATCTGAAACTACAAACCAATTAAAATAAATTAATCTACTAATCTACTAAAAATAAGGGTAAAATTTTCTTATTTCATAAAATATTAAATAATAAAAAAATAATACCTATCCAATTGATATAAAATATCGCATTTTATGAAAAATTATGATTTACTTTGCCTCTACGAAAAGAATCTGAAGTATGCTCGTCTTTCACTTATAGGGTAAATTTCAAAGAAAACTATTGAAAAAATCTTTAAAATTTTTAAAAGCTAATTGTATGCGACAATGCATAATCTATATAATGACATATTAATAAAATCGAGCAGAATAAGATAGTATCGATTACAGGTGATCCAAGCGCTTTTACTTTACGTATACGTAGAACCAAAGCCAAGTAACTTAATTAACTTTAGCTCAAGTGGCTTTTAAAATATTTAACAAGATCAAAATATAGATAAGGTTGAGAGGCATCTGATGACAAACATTCATAACAATGAATTAGTCGCTAGCATTGCAGATCGACCCGCATTAAACATAATAAAAGCACGCAAAGAGATTCATGTAAGAGAAGAAAAACCATTCGTTTGCCCAGAAAAAATCTGGAAGTTGAGGAAATAAACCCAAATAAACTAATAAATTCCAGTGGTTTAGGTACTATTCACAGCTCTTATCAAGCCACAAAAAACGAGTTATTTTTGAATACATTATTGACATGCTATGAAAAATAACGTGGAATGTGAAACCAAATTTCTGTAGGTTATCGTCCACTGAGTCCGTATACAACAGCTCAAAATCTACGAATACATAATTTGTCAATTGGTATCATCCATCATAAGCCTCTTATCAACTGAAAATCAATACGGACAAACTAGAACAAATGGCATAACTAGAATAGATTGCACAAATACTGTTCAACAATGGTTTATTACTCATTGCATAGACAGAGGTTTTTCAAAGTAAACGAAAAACTACAGTCATGAGAGTAAACCAAAATCAACTCTACAGCCTTTCGCAAAGAAATTCTACTATCAAACTTCTCGAATTTCTCAGAAATTCCAGATAAGCCAGTCAACTTCCCTCTTCCCTAGTACATAATAACTAAATGCTCATCGATAACTCCAAAAAAATGCCGAAAAATTCGTTTTCATGAACGAGAAAGGAAAGTAAACAGTGGCGAAGTAATATTTCAATAGGAGAAGATAATTCTGTAGACTGAGACTGGGTTTATTTTTCTTAGATGAAGTTTATTCATTTTATTGTATATTTGAATGACCAAAAAATATATCTAAAAAAGCAAAAAGATATAAATTATACATACTTCTGCCAATCGAAGTTCACTACGCTCAAGTTCCGTAACAAGTCGTTCTTTTATTGAAATTTCTTGTTGAAGTTCGACCAAATCATCACGTAACTTCAAACATTCTAGAAATTAAAATACTAATGTTGATAATGGCAAATTACCACAAGTTGAAATCAAAAAAAAAAAAAAAAAATGGTATGATACCTCTTTCAGCACGATCATCTTCATCATCATCGTCAAATCCATATTCTTCGCCAACAGAAGAATCGGTGGATAAATTTTCAGTAAGGAGTCGATCGTTCCTTAGACATCGATCATTAATATCCTTTCTTGTTTCTGCTTCATCATTAGTCGCACTTTCTAAATTAAGAGGAGTGGGAGAAGCGATATTTCCAGCAGTTCGATTATCTTCCAAATCTAAACAACATAATACGTTCAGTTTACGAAATATTACGAAATTATTTATGAAATAGATATGAACTACTATGAATTAGACAATAATAATTTTCGTTTACGCTTGAAAACAGAGAAATGACAAAAAGCAATACATTATATAGCAGTATATTTTTAAGAAATATACTAAATAAACCATCATAGAAAGATCTTTTCATTCGATCAATGTCCGCTTTTGCTTCCAAAATCAGTACAGACGTTGGAGATGCTGGAAGATCATTGTATATCGATGCATTCATATCAACTGCATTTAAATAAAAATTATTCGACATTGAAGTTTTTAAATGATTCACTTGTCTTCTTAGTTGCTCAGCCGTTGCATTCGATTCCATCAGCATAGTTCTAAAAAATAATCTGGCAAAAATATCTCCTACAATTACGAGAAATTTGGATATTTTTTTGATAATAATTTGATTCAGATGAGATATCATGTGCCACTTAGCAAAATAGCTTGCTTTTTTTCCCCTATCTTTTTCTCTACTCTATCATTTCGGATTATTTATTTGCTCATTGAATCTGATGATCTGCTCCTTGCTTTCTTTCCTATCGCCTAATTACTTCATAATAAACAATTTATTAACAATTTATTGTTTCACAACTAGCATCATTCTTTAATTTATTGTTTCACAACTAGCATCATTCTTTAACATTGGCGATATACGTGAGTCATTAGCCCGGATTTTTGGACGTTTACTTCTGAGGGGAACAGAACCTCAGCATCGTTTCGTATTGAACACCGACCCATTGAGCCATTTTACCCATTGATAAATCGATTAGAACCGTATCTACATTAATTAGATCTATAACTATTTTAACCTTAAAGTTTCCATTTCGGTCAAATAATTTCGCACAGCTTCAGAAAAAAATTGATCATTAATTTCAGTATTTCCTGAAAAAATCTTCTGTTCCTGGAAAATGAATGCTAAACCAAAATTATTTGTTAGAAATTCGTATCGGATTTCTTTTCATTTTTCTTTTGTTAAAGATATTTATAAAATATGAAATTACCAGTTTTTTTTAAAATTAATTATAGAACAAAAAATTATGTGAAAAAATATTTTAAATTATATATATTTATTATATATATTATGAAATATTTTAAATTTGGAAATGAAATGAAATTACGAAAAAAATGTAGGAAATATCAACCAAATCTTTAGATAAAGTCAAAACAACGTTACCTAATGGTCGCTCAAAATTACTTTCCTCTTTTTCAGCTAATAACTGAATATTCCTAGCCTTCATCATTTCCACTGTTTCTTGCAAAGCCTTTATTCGAATTCGCAATTGAGCTGAATCAGCCTTAGAAAAAATAAAAATAAAAAATAAAATAAATAAATAAAATAAAAAATATAGAGAAACCGAAAAATTGGAAAGTATTAGTTGAAGTAAATGATTTATTCAATTACTTTTTTCAATATATGTTAAGGAGCACAAAAAAGCAAATATTGAAGATGAAAAAAACGGCAATGAATTGCTGCCTAAAAGAATATTAGACTAACATGTAACAAAAGATTTTCTCGATAATGGTCATTAAAAGTTTCCATTCCATTTGTGCTCATAACAATTCTTCCCTAAAATAAAAAAAAAATTCCGATATGCCTTCAGTTCTTAATTTCTTCCTTAATGAATAAAAATGCGTGAAATATTTAAACAAATTCAAATGCAATTTAAAAATAACTTGTCTATAATCAGCCAGCTCTGTTTCCAACTGAGTTATTCGATTTCGTAATTGACTAATCAATTTGCTAGATTTATCTTGATTGGCTATCACCTATAATAGTTAAATATTAAAAAATATGAGAGCTTATTAAAAATAGGATTTCATAAAAAAACCAATGAATAAAGTTGTAAAGGAAAACATTTATAATTAATAACTATATTCTAAACCAAAAACAACTAATTGAAAATACATCGAAATATTTATAACTAAATAACTATCTAAATCTTAATAAATATTAAGATTTTATTAATCATATATTGGAATAAAAACAGACCTTGTTTTTGATATTCTTTGCTCGATTCGCATATTTCATTGTATTAAGTGTTTCAACAAAATCACAATCTGATGGACTAACGCATGCAATCATTAAGGTTCGACTAAAATTTAAAAAGCTGGAATAATTGTCAGAATAATTAGTTTTTCTTTTGATCAATGCTTCAATTCAAAATGAAATTCGACTAACGCTAAAAGTCGAATGAAAAGGTAATTTGGTGATTTGTAATTATATATTCAATTATAATTAAGTTATACTATAAGAAATGCTCGAAAAAAATCTTTTTGTATTACCAAATAAGAAAGGAGTCAAATAAAAAATTAGATAATTAAAATGAGAAATTTATTTATATAACCTGTTTCCTCCCAAAGAATCTTGTAACAAACGTGTTAGTTTAGAATCTCGATATGGCACATGACTTACTCTTCCTGATGATCCACCTAAGGCGCTTATTACATTACCCAGTGCTAACTGAAATAATGTGATTTCTTTTTAATATAACAAATTTAACAATCAACTTAATTATCATATAGCGTAAATAATCCATCAAATCCATCAAAATAAAAACACCAACCAATCCACAATTAATACTTATTCCCTCCTTTGCACGATGCCCAGTAGCACCAGTTCGTTTTAATCTTTCCGATCCAGCTAAATCAACGAAATGAAATTTGGCAGTGAAAATATCGAATTCCACTGGTAGTCCTTGTTCGAAATTAATATCGACTCTAGATTCTGTTTGCTCATCCTTTAAATCATTTTTTAAAACCATTTTTAAATCATTTTTGATAATTATAAAAAAAAAATTTAAAAAGCACCAATTCAAACTAGTAAACTGAACTAAAATTTCTTTTATAATTAGTAGTTCTTTAAAACAATAGTAAACTAAGTTCTTCTTCTAACAGCTTTCATCACTACTGGTTAGGCTAGCTTCAACGGCTACAAGGGTAAGACGCTTCCAAGTGGCGCGGTCTGATGATATCGTCGATGGAAGCCATTCCTTTTTCCATCGTCTAAGTCCATATATTGCTGGTCGTTACGTTCAAAATCTTTCCTCACCGTATCAGTCCAGGTCTTGATTGGCCCACCTCGCTTTTGACGCCAATCATACAGTTTAGTAAATAACGAAATATGCGTCAACTCTTGTGGTGGACGACGGAGAATGTGCCCTAACCACCGAAGGCGGCGCTCTGAGATAACAATATTCATGCAAGTGGTATTTGAACGAAGATGGATGCGATCATGTGATATCTTATCCGCTCGATGGATCCGTAATATATACCTCAGACAAGAGTGGTCAAAGGCAGATAACTTCTTAATATCCTCCACTTTCATTAGTAAATTAAGTTAAATTTTCTTTTACATGTAGTAGTTTTCCAAAACAAATAAAATTTCAAATAATAAAAATTTTATCAAAAATTTTATAACTAAATATTTCAATATTTTTCTTTAATTACATCAATGTTTCTACTTCTAATTTTTTGCCTAGATTTCACGTTTTATAACGAGTTTATTCGTATCCAAGAAAGAGAAAAAAACAAAAGAATTAATCGATCGATAATGATGTGGAGTACCTAATGACCGTTTATCAAAGACTTAGTTACTGGTGGTTACTAGGTGCTTCTTCACTTATACCCAAATGATTATGTTAACATTAAGATAACGCGATAAATATGCATATTTATCCTGGTAAAAAAAAAGAGCTCTAGAACCAGTTTAGAAGAGATGAATAACTGCCAACTGCCATACCGTGAAATAAGAATTGTAGAACATAAAGGGACATAGACGACACCATTCATCTTTGTTTAAATATAATGTGGGCATCACCTCTTTATCGGAAGCACGTCTTAACATCACGTAATTCATATAATTCTGGATGAAATGGTGACTGTCAAATTCGAAAATGCTAGATCCACTCTGATTGAATCAGTATATGGCTTATACATGATTCAACCAGTTAACCAATTAATAAAGTTCAGCATGTCTCAGTTAAGTGCTTATGATCTTATTAAGCAGATCAGCAGACCATTCTATAGGTTCTATACGGAATTTCAAATGTAAACATCTCTTTGGGAAGGTACCATAACCAAGGGAGACTAGAAGTAGTCTAGGCCACAAAATGGGTTCCGTGGTTGGTTAGAAAATATGTTGGTGCAAATGGAAAGTGCCTTCTTCGCCTTGATGAACATGAAATTTTTGCTTCTAGCACATATGTATCACAGAAGATAATTAATCACATGGAATTCTCAGTATAACTAACAAACTGATTAGTCAATTATTATTGGAAAAGTAAGACAGCTATTCCCATCGCAGTGGTGAAATTGGTGATCTTCACGGATCAGATCCACGGTCTAAGCACATGAAATTGATATTGGGCAGAAAACAGCATCTTTCAAAATTTTACAGCCTCGCAAATGATTTAGATTATTAAGTGTATTTCAAACCAAATTATCGAAACACCTCAATAATGTAAATTTCAACAACACATCTGGAACCACCAATGAATTTTAGCCCCAATTAAGAGTCTCCAGTCGAATTCACGCTTGGATATGCCACTTGGAAATTCGATAGTATCGGAAGCAACAATCCGATTATCCGAAAAGATTTCCAGAGCACAAGTATCAGAAGATCATCGAACGCTTCGAAGGCATGAACTAAAGTAGCATAAAAACAGAAATAAAACTCATTATTGAAGTGATATATGTCTGAAATGGAGATGTCTACTAGAATAGGCGGTAATGGTAACTGTTCCACTTCAAGTAAGAATAAATTCGGTAAATATTCAGTGAAACAACGAAGTCCCAGACAATAATGGTGTCTTTCAGAATTTTCAAGGATCGCGTTATATGATGGAAGGAACTCTGAAACCAAACTTAACATTCTACATCATACTACATTCTACCATCTGTCATCCAAAATATAGCTGAAATGATTGATGAGCTATATTTTTTTTTTGTAACTGCCAACTGTCAACAGAACAGGAAATGATCTCCGTCATTCAAAAATTTAAGATCAATAAAACTTTCGAAGAAGTCATCGAGTTCAATTTTCTTTAAAATTTATCTTCAACTGGTATATTCTGCGGTATGGAAGAAAAAACTAATCAGATGACTGGAACAACGCGCTTGATCCCAATCCGCAAAATGAGCAATTGGATATACTACGATATAAGGGCATACTACAACAACTATCAAAGAGTTAGCCTATTATATGTCTCTGGGAAAATCTTCGCCCGAATTTTATGAATAAACTTAAGGCAGAATGAAAACAAGATGCGTCCTCACCATGCTGGTATCAGATCGGAGCCCTGACCGCCGGGACTAAGGAAAACCTTGGAACATCGCTCAAATATCGCAACCCACTGTTAATTGTTCTATTGATTTTGCCGATGTTTTCACTTCAATTGATATAGCTGCGCTTTGATGATGATGGACACCGTGCTCAAAGTGATCATTCAATTCGTAAAGGCACTTTAGCCAACCAGCACAAGTCTATTTGGAGAATTGGTATCCTTACAAAATAAGAACTGGTGTATGTCAATGCTGTCTTTTTTTATATTACTCAGTTACGCAAAGAATTGGATTATGGACACCACTTGCAATCACTCTCTAAGCATAGTATCATAGATTTTAAACACCCGTATGAAACGGCCTTTTTTGATAATTGTGAAAGGCTGAATAATCGGCAGCTAAAAATCGGCATAGAATCAATATATATGTAAGACCAAACTCTTCGCCTTATATACCAGATGTTGATAAAATGCCTACCATCATCGGCTGGAGAATTTAATTCCGCTCTTGTACTAAACGGTCAAACGAAAGATGGCCTAAATAAATGCAACTATAAACGCGAGCTTTTTGGAAGTCATGAAAATAAATAATGGTTACCAATAAGAAATAAAAATTTCTAGTGGAAATAACATAAAGCAACAGTATACAAAAAAAAATGATACTCACATTCACAGTTGGTAAGATACAACCTCTCCTTTGTTTAATGAACATTGTAAAAATAGCATGTGAACGCGATGACTGTTCGTTCATATTCGTCGAAGCTGTTTTTCGATTCAAAGCACCATTTTTCAATACCATTAAAGTCTGAAATATTAAAATTTTAAACATTAACTTGATCTGAAATGAAGCGTCATAGAAACTTCAATATATCATGAATGATTATCAAATTCTACTCGAAAAGTTTCATCCTCGAATTTATTTTAAAAAAAGTTTACCTCATCCGGGTTTGACACATTTATCTTCGTGACGCCATGCAAAAATATTTCGCCATTATAATTTTCATGAATTCTTAAAGTAATTGAAGAATTTCGATCATCAGCCAATAAATCCACCACTTCTTCATTATAAAGCTGTAACACAAAAAAATTTTTTTTGAGAATTTTTGAGGATCAAGCTTCATTTCATAAAATATAAGAAAATATTTAATAAAACATACGAAATCTAGTACTTCCTTGTATTTAAGAATTAAAATGAAAAATACTTTTAATATTGGCATTCAAAGAGGTAAAAGCATATGATATTTCTACTATATTAAAAAGGGCAACCTCAACAAATTGAGCAGCAACATCAAAAACAGGTTCAAACTGATTCTTCTCTCTAGCTTGAAGTTTACGCGCTTCAATTTCATTAAAAAGATACTTAATTGCTCGAGGAATGATTCCAACCTCTTCTTCATTTATTACATCGATCATATCAAATGCAGTTCCCATTGTATAAGTTTTACCACTTCCAGTCTAAAAATTTCAATTCATTTTATACGAAAAAGAATCGAAGAAATTTATTATGTCGAATTTTATTATATCGAAAGAATATATGTTTTAGATATCAATAACTTTAATCTTAATTTAACCAATTTTCGATAAAAAAAAGATGATGCAAGATTTTTCAAAACTTTTTCCATTCAAATTCATTTTTCACCGAATTTTACCAGCCTGGCTAATTCTAATCCAGAGAAAAAATATTATAAATTCTATCAATACCAAAATTTTTATCAAAAAACTCGAAAAACCTGGCCATAAGCAAGAACTGTTGCATTAAATCCTTCAAATGTTCCAGCGACAAGATTTGCAACGCAGCTCTCAAAGATATTACTCTGAGCTGTTTGTTGGTCGAAAACGTGATCATAGGTGAAACAACGATCCTCACCAATCGTTACCTCAATAAAAATTATGAAAAATGATAAAAATATAACATTTTAGAGAGCATGACTGGTAATGCTAGCATGGACAGCTTTTCGGAGAGGAAATTATCAATGAAAATTTAAGAATTTAAAAAATTACTTGAGGTTCGCCAGGCGTTACGCTTGTGCAAATTCTACACAGCTCAAGTTTTTCGCGAGCTACCTGAGGTCGAATTCTGAAGTAAATTTCGTAACAAATAATTTCTCGTAAATTGTTTTACGGTTTTTTTATTCAATAAAAAATTTTAAAGAAGTAATTAGCGACCTTAGAGCCACTTGAACGGCCGATACATCGTTTTCTTTCATTATGCAATCCATAATTGCCATGATAATTACGAATTAAAAGTGAGACATAAGTAAAGAGAAACGCAAAAAGAGCGGTCGAAATTTCCAGCAATCCTGAAAATAATTAGTCAACAGCCAGCGATCGAACTTCGTTGAATTCCTTTCCTTAACTTTCCCCTTTTTCGGTTTTCGAATTTCTCACAAATGGAAAAAAAATGATGTAAATAAAACTAAAATATAACCAATGCAAAAATTTTAAAAAACTCTTTTCTTTTCTCTTTTATTTTCCAAAAAATGAAATGAAAGTTAATTTCATAAGAAAACGAAAAAAATTTAATCAATAAAACAAGAACAATGGACGAAAATTTGTAAAATTAATAAAATGAAAATAGACCATACAATTCGGGCAATTTTTCGATGCCACACCACTTTAAATCAAACTGAAAATTATTATTTGTTGATAACTTTTCAACAAAATTAATTGACTGATTTTTGTTTTTCTATAAATTTTGAAAAATTTTTTTATATTTTCCAGAAGTTATTACTGAAGCTGTCTAAATGAAAATTCAAATTAAAAATTTTAAAAAGCGCAATTCTCTTTAAGCTATTCGGTTATCTGAGCCGCAGATAACGCTACTATATGTCCTCTTTCTTTCTCCTCAAATTTTCCTGCTTTTGCGATCACCACTGAGAACCACAAAGCCGAAGGGTACCTCTCCTCCCTCGCATTTCACAAAAAAATAAAACCGCTGTAAAGCCATTTTTTAATTTCCCTTCACTTCAGTGAAAACGATAACAATTATCGAATTAGTTTTGAAAACTGATTTTCAAACAAATGATTTTGATAATTTTTGGCAATAAAAATTAGAGAACAACTTCAATAAATTTAGAAAACTGAAAATAATTTTCATGAATGGGGAATGATTTTAGACGCACCGGCAGATGCTGCGACTCACCCGTACTTCTAGTGATCAGTCCGATAAGCCAGCGGAGCGCGCCCAACCATCGATGACGGAAAAAGGACGAAAGGACGTTTTTTAACAAAAAATTTTAGCAGAATATTGTGAATTATCTAATGTGAAAAGCCAGTTTTTTGACATTTGAATTATTTTATTGTAAAATCAAACCAAATTTATTAAATTAAATTGATAAAATTCGCGAAGTTGCAAAAATCAATTAATTTAAAATATTTTTTAGTAGCAAAAGCAAAAGCGATCATCATTTACCAGCGAAGACACTGGCACAACAGACTGCAGAAAAAACTAAACGCAAATGTGCGACTGTCTCAGCGCTGCCCATCTAACCGAAAAGTACTGTCAAGTTAAAACGAACCCAAAACTGCCTACAACACTAAACTCTGAACACAAAAAGAATGATGCACTGAGCAAATGAACGAACTTACACAAAAAAATTATGAGAACTATTATGAAATGTTTGGGCTACAAAATTTTTTTCAAATCGACGGGCCGTATTTTTTACATTCTATCAAATTACATTGAAACAAAACTTTAAATAAATGAAAATATTGGATTTTTCAAAAAAATTTTGACTGTTTGAAAAGTGTTTGGGTGTTTTTTTAAGTTTAAACAAAGAAAAATTTCGCAAAAATTCAAATTAACAATTTCAAAACGAATTTCAACGATTTTTCAGTATTTCCAATCATTTCCAAACGGAAATTTTTAAATAATTTTCTCGGCCAATTAAAATTTATAAAACAATTTCTAATGATTTATTTTCAAATAAATTTTCAAAAGAATTAGAATTGGTGACGAAAAAGATTTTTTGAAGCAAACTAATGGGAAATTCGCTTTCCTTTATTTACATAAAAACCCATAAAATTATAAACAGGAATTTGTGGAATTTGGAATCATTAGCAGCAGTCAATACATTTCTTATAAAGTGCGCTGTATTTGGGCCCTCTGAGAGTCTTTTGAAAGTGCGTTGAAAGCCAAACGTTAGAAGCTGTGCGTTGCATTTGACGGGAATGCTTGAAAATCTCGTAAAAACTACGTACGCCTCAAATTAATATAAATTATCTATTATATTCTGCAAAATCGATAATTATTCTTATAGGGATGTTTGATATGGCGAACACTGGAAAAAATTGCTGTTGGACCACTCGCACCACAGCTCGAAGTGAGCATAGACCATAGAAAAAGCAATAATTTATGGATGATTTGATATTTGATGACATCCATGAAAGGTATAAAAGTGCGGATTTGTGTCAATGGTTCTGAATGTCTTTTTGCAAAATGATTTTCACATCCAAAAATTTTAATTTCTCAAATATTAATTTTATTAAAGGTTTATTAAAATATGTTAAAGTATTAAAAATTTCAAAGGCAAATTCATGAAAAATTTAGGAAAAATATTAAAGGTAATACAATTATTGAAATACAATTTACAATAGAAATATTTTTTTTGGATAATAAATAATAAATTAATGAAGCTTTTCTTAAAGTATAATTTAAAATGTATATAATGTATTTTAAAATGTAATTTTCCTATAACATTGTTTTTAGGAAAAAATGGCCAAATTTTGCTACTAAAAAATGGTTTTTGTATCAAATTTCAGACGTTTTGTTGCAACAGAAATAAAATTTTGGCCAGTTTCCTCTTTTGCATTTCAAGTAAATCTCAATTATTTTTCGCAATTTTGCAATTTTTTACTTCCATTATTATTACTATTATTGTATTATTACTTACTTTCACTATGATAGTTACATTCAATCACTCTACATTTATCACTCAAAGAAATTTTAAAAAAAGGATCCAAAATTTATTATGTTGAAACAATATTAATTTATATTTATAATATTTATATTATATATTATATATTATATAAATATTATAAATATTATATTATATAATATATAATATATATATTATATATTATATTATATATAAATATTTATAATATTTTATAATAATATTTAAATTATATAAAAATCTTTAAAAAATGTTAGATTTATGAAAAATTTGATGGGAAAAAATGGGATAAGCAAGAAATAGCAAACCAACTACTATAAGCAAATATGGACGCAGATGTTTCGAATAAAATGACCGATCATTTCTAGTGGAATTTTATTGGCAAAGAAAAAGATATTTCCCTTTCTCTTACATTGAACGAATGAATACCATTGAAAAAACGAGAAAAATGAAGAATGACCGTTCGCCAAATTGCCAAAATTTTCTCGTTTTCTATAAAAATGCATACTTCTTATAGGAAAAATTAATAATTTTATAGAAAATTGTCATATATTTTGACTCAGAAATTGACGCACATCAAAGCTCGCAGTGGATTGCATCAAAAGCGAAGAGACTCAGTCAAGAACTTCAACTTAAGCAGTTTTTTTACGAACCTTTACCATTACTGTCGATTGGGCCCGCTCCGCTGGTTTGTCACACTAGACAAATAGGGGCCCAGGGAGCCCCTAGCGATAGAAATACAGATAATTCACCAGTAACGTCCGGCTTTTTGGACAAGTTTACTCATGTATGGAATTGAACCTCAGCATTAGCTCTCCGAATTCAGCAACAACCCACTGAACAATTCTACCCATTCAACTTAAGCAAATATTTTGATGTAGGGCCAATAGCTAATAATGTACGGTTTAAAGCTGAGAAAAAATTGCTTCTCGCATTCAGACATTTCATTCATTCTATGGTCGGATCGGGAAGCTTGAAACCTTAGTCTCCAATGGGCCCAGCCAAATCAACAATAGTGCCAGCTATTAGAAAAAGTATAATTTAACTAACTTTTAATATTATTTTTTCTTGTTGATTCAAGGAAAAATAAATAAAAATGGCTAATAAATGATGGGTAATTTTGGTAAAATTGAAATATTTTTTGAAAACAATTTCGTCTTGATAAATTCATTGAAAGTGGCCTTCATAGATATATTTCCGATGGATGAAGAAAATAATATTCATTAATGTAGGAAGTATATTTATTCAAATTTATGTTCGAGAAAATTGGATGCCATTATACAATAGTTCAATGGTTCCATAACTCTTTATTTTCCGAATTTACTTAGTCTTTTGAGAATATTGAGCACATTGATCCTCTAAGAGCTTTTGTTTCTTTATTTTGATAAATTCTATCCATGTAGGAAGCAAGATAACCAAATGAGTACCAAGGGCTTTTCAGACCCTTCCTCCGATAGAAGTAAGTCTGTTATTAAAAGTTTGGGTAGTCCGGATAGTATTTACTTCTGTTCCTAAGTAACTCCTTTTCAAGAAATTTCCCATCCTACTAAACGCATTAAAGCGAGTCTAACCAGAAGTGGTGTACGCTAGCTGTTTATTTATTTCTACTATGTTGGAAATAAGAACTGAAATTTTTTAACTCATTTAAAAAACGCATTCAACGCATATCTTGACATAAAGCATATTTTTAATGAAAAATAGCTAAATTTTCTTTATTATAGCGGCTAGAATACTGTCTGAATTAGAAGATCTGGAAAAAGTTTGATGGGAAAAGAACCATTGTTTTTGTTTCTGCGAATTTCTGTAATGTAATGCACAACAAAGAAAAAGTAGCAAATAAGAATAATTCTACACCACTCGAACTCTTTAGAAGGATCTCAGAGAGCCACACATACTAACAAATACACTTCAGAAGATCTCAAAACTCATTCTGACCGCAAGATCTGAAAGGTTTTACGACTTCAAAGGAATAAGAGACTGCAATCAGTCTGCGAGCACAATGCCATAAAGGCAGGCAATCTTTCCAATCGGGCAACCACTCGGTGTTACGAGGGGAAGGGAATTCTACTCCGAGGAATTCTACGTATCTAAAGAGAGTGTATAAAGTTGAAAACCACTGATCTAAAAGGATTTTATAGATCTTCGCCGCTAATCTTAATCTATGAAAATTTGAAGCGTACTTTTTTGTTCGAAAAAAATTGTTTTCAATCAAAATTTTATAATTTAGGGATTTCTTTAAAACAACATAAAAGATTTTTCAAGCGAAACAACTGCTTAATTTAAAAAAATCTCTTTTGTTTTTTCCTAAATTGCACCGTTAAAATTATATTAAT